TGTCATGGGCCAGGATGTCGGAGACACCCCTTCCATAAACGTTGGCAGCTACACCCTGGAAGTCGTTCAGGACTTCACCTACTTGGGTTCTACCATCACCTACTACAATTTGTCCCTCGTCACAGAGATTGACGAGCGCATTGGGAAGGCGTCAACAGCTACGTTCAGGTTGACTAAATGAGTGTGGGAGAACAAGTCCCTAACGCTCAACACCAAAGTACAAGTGTACCGGGCCTGCGTCCTTAGCACCCTCCTCTATGTTGTCTGAGTCCTGGACAACATACGCCCATCAAGAACATCGACTAAACACATTCCACCTCCGATGTCTCAGGCGCATCCTCGATATCAGATGGCAAGATCACATTCCCAACACCTCAGTTCTCAACTTGGCCAACATTCCCAGCATGTACTCTCTACTCAGTCATAGGCGCCTGAGATGGCTTGGACACGTGCACCGCATGCAGGGTGGAAGAATACCCAAGGGGATGTCTTGTACGGCGAGCTGGCATCAGGCAAACGGGCCGCTGGTCGCCCGGTCCCGCGCTTCAAAGATGTCTGTAAACGGGACGTGAAGAGCTGCGACATCAACCCAAGTGACTGGGAGAAAACTGCCGGCGACCGACTCAGCTGGCAGCAGGCTGTGAAGACGGGCCTCGGGAGAGGCGAGGAGAAAAGACGCACCGCTTGGCAGACCAAGAGGGTGCGACGTCAAGAAAAAGCAACAAACGCCTCTGGAGCTGCCACCGCATTCACTTGCAATTGCTGTGGCAAGGATTGCCACTCAAGGATTGGCCTACTAAGTCATTCTAGGCGCTGCAAAACCTACAGCTGACCTCGTAAGGCGCAAAAAAGAATTGTCTCTCGAGACACAAGGGCCTATGATGATGGCCATCCTCGCCGATTCCAAGGGCCACGCTAAACAGTCTGGCTACTCGCATCGTGCATCAAGCCAAGAGACGCAGCAGGATTTATTCACAGGCAACGACTTCCATGCCACGAATACAAATCAAGCCAAGAGACGCATGCAAGTCTGAACTGAGGCCGACATCAAAAGTAAACTTCTCGATTTAAAGCTTTCGTGACTGCAGTAACTCATATTCTTAGTTCTTTCGGTAAAGTCACGTTGAAGGGAAACAACAAAATAATAAAATATATATATAACTAAGAATGTAGTAAACTTCTCGTACAGGATTCTTCCGTCAGCCTCCCGGCTTCAAACCATCCACGCTGCCGCTGGCCGACCATCAACCGAATCAGGACGGGGCATGGCCAATGCGGCCACCTGATGCGCAATGAAGCGCGTGGAATATTCGGTGTGCCCCGCCGATCGCGGCCATCAATCCAAAACCATCGGCCGCGTTGCAAACCGCTGCCGTCTTCACAGCCTCAAAGGAGGTGGCCGCGGGGGCCGGCTTCCACCCCACCGCCCTCCCTCCTCCACGGCCTCGATCGGCTCACCGTCGGGCCCCCAGCTAAATGGGCTGGCTCACCGCCGCATGGGGCTATTCCACGCAACGCCCACTCTCCCGCTGGTGATTCCACTCTGCGACGTGCACGCCCCACGGTTAACACTACAGCGGCGGGTGGTCATGCGCGACCCCGCACACTCGAGTCGCAAACACTGCGCCGACGCTGAGCTAGAGCCTCTCCCATCGCTCCCCAATTCACCCCCCAGATACTCACACGCCCTGTCGCGGACCTCGCGGACGCACCCTGCCGGCGTCGCGCGGGCGCTGCGGGCGGCTCGAGGAGGAGGAGGCGGGCGGGGAGTCGGTCTGGGCGGCCCAGGCGGGTCGGGGATGAGACAACTCGCTTGAACAAGTTTCGGGTTTCGCCCATTTTTTAACGGCCCTTTGATTTCGGAAAAAGAAAAAAAAAAAACCCATCCGGGGTTAACGTTATAGCCTGCGCAGACGATCGTGCGGCCTACCGGTAAATTTTCAAAGAATTCTCCGTCCTCACGTGGAGCGTCACGTTACGTTACGTTATTGTTCAGGCCATTGTCTCTGCGCCCGTGGCCATTAATCCCTGACTCAGTCGGTTTAATATCTGGGAGGGCGTCCGGCTGGCAAAAATACACACCCGGTGTGTACTTGGTCGGTGGCACTAGGATCCCCCCCCCCCCCCACCCACCCTCACTGTCTGCTCTGCTCACTTAACATTTCACCCCAGCCCTTTTGCCGATGTCGTGCGTAACTCATCGCAGCTGGCCCGGTGGACCTTGGTGCGCCCCTACAATTTGAATTCAGTTTAGGGGCGCCACCAAGGTGATTCGTCCTGGGAGGGTCGGCCAACCTCCTGGCACCGGGAAACCACGGGACTTCCCACCTAGGGGCCCTTCGGATGAAAACCCGTTGTGCCAAGCGATCCCCCGCCGGGACACTGCGTGTGTGTGTGTGTGTGTGCTGTGTGTGCTGTGTGTGTGTGTGTATGCTGTGTGTGCTGTGTGTGTGTGTGCTGTGTGTGCTGCGTGTGTGTGTGTGTGTCTGTGTGTGTGCTCCGTGTGTGTGTGTGCGTGTGCTGTGTGTGTGTGCTGTGCGTGTGTGTGTGTGCTGTGTGTGTGTGTGCTGTGTGTGTGCTGTGTGTGTGCTGTGTGTGTGTGTGTGCTGCGTGTGTGTGTGTGTCTGTGTGTGTGTCTGTGTGTGTGTGCTGTGTGTGTCTGTGTTTGTGCTGCGTGTATGCTGCGTATGTGTGTGTGTGCTGCGTGTGTGTGTGCTGTGTGTGTGCTGCGTGTGTGCTGCGTGTGTGTGTGCGTGCTCAGGGGGAGGGGTAGTGGGGAATCGTGGCTCTTGCGGAGTTGACCCACCGGTTAGTACTGAAACTAGTAACTTATTGGCAACGTTTTTGTGTTACGTGACAAACCCCTCCACTGATTGGCTGTGTCGGATGGTGGTGGCAGGTTTCATGACGATGATGATTTGCAGGTTCATCCCAGGATGCTTCTGTTGCGCGTCGTCGCTTTAAGATGTTTCTCTGTTCATGTTTTGTTTGTTGCGGTTGTACTCCGACTCAAGAGCCGCGTGGCTCACAGGGCTCTATGCCTCATAAATGAAAACTTGAAAACTTGAAATGACGACGCGACATTCATATTTACGCGATCTAACCACCACCTCTCACCCCCCTTGGGATGCTTTTTGTTGTTGTTTCCTAATCGCAGGCGAGGAGGCGGCTGTGAACTGCTCCGTGGCCCAGGACACGGTGTGTCGGTGCGCAGAGGGCCTCAAGAGAGACGACGACTTGGGAATTTGTGTGCCTCAGGAGTTGCAAACCCCAGGTAGTAGTAGGATTACAAAGCCGCTCAAGTCAACCGCAACACGCCGTTTGATTTCTCAGCTGTCAGGGAGAGCACGGGACAGCCTGGTCCACTGAAACCGCAGAAGCATTCTGCAGTAGAAGCACGAAATTCAAACTCAACCTCACGTCTATTGAAAGCTTCAGGAACTGCATGCACGGTCAAACACAGCCACGTGTGACGTTATCAGTTCACGACCCTGTGCAATACTGAACACCGAATTTTTTTATTTATTGTATCTACGCTCAAGTTTTAGACTGGAGTCCCCTTGCCTCCAAATATTCACACTGGGTAGTAGCGCTTTTACTGCTCGTTTCGGAGGTTTGTAGTTCAAAACCCCATCGGCTACCCTGGTTAATGCGACTGGTGCATTCAACAAATTGAAATGCGCCATCTGCTTCACAGTGAATGATAGTGGTCTGGTAACCTTATGCTGGTAGGAACGAGGTTGTAAACTGAGTGTACCAGCCTGCAATAGATTAATGTGTCCTTCCGTCCGTCCGTTTGTCCGTCCCCTTTCAATACTTTAACGAAGTGAAATCTCGTGCTGTTGGGGTGTATAAAATCAGCAATAGACAGCGCAGAGACTTGATATTATGTCTTATTGCACCCAACATTTGGAAGTGACGTTATCTCATTTGCGAACTTCGCTTTTGGGGATGTGGCAAATTCACAGACAGCCCACAGCCGAATACAATTTGCGAGGCGCAGTTCGAAGGCACCGTGACGTTACTTTGCCAATGTTCCTACCAGCCCACCCTGCAGGGACCTGTTTTGAAAATAGAATGCCATGTGTTCTGGCATCGTGGTTCGAATGTGAAATTATCTGCAAAGTTCCTTTATGGGGGAAGGCAAATCGTAAAAAAAAATAACATCACCCGCAACTGTGAAACTGCTGCAGATGATAATCTGTGAAAAAGCGCCTTCGCAGAAAATTTTCGTGCTTAAAGAAACTATAGAAATGATGCAAATAGCAGTGATTTAGTGCGGCCTGGAGGCGTATTATTAAATAATGCATATTACAATTCCTCATAGGGGAAACGCATACTAATTAACGGATTACTAACATAGCATATAATCACAATAACACACATTACAACTAATTACTAATCTACAACTCATTACTAATCATAACCATTGACTGATTACTAATCGATTACATAGTTAAAATACCCGCCCCTCCGCCTCTAATCACTTCACCTGATATGAGTTAAATCATGACGTCACCCTGCTGCTCTATTTAAGACCGGGAGCAAGCGAGGGCTTTACCATTCTGGCGAATTGCCCGATGATGCTGGATGTATTTACCAGCGAAACGTCGTACTCAAACTGTAAATGTTGTGGATTCACTCTTCAACAACACTCCGGTGGGCTAAAGTAGTGAATTATTTGTCTTTTGTCAACGTGACACTTTTTTTTTGCTGATTGGCCGTGTCGGGTGGTGGAGGGTTACGACACATTTATAAATAACGCGATCTAACCCAAAAACCTTTATTATGAGCAGTGATTTGATGGTTTGATTTTGATAGAGGTTGTGTTAATGCAACGTACTGCATTCGTATTCATTGCAATGTATCACATAGACCTGACAAGTAGGCGGAGAGGGAGCTGCTGTTCACAGCTTGTTGTTTTTTTCCCTTCATAAAATTTTCAGACTCCACGTCAGTCGTGTTGGCGGCAGTCCTCATCTTCGTCCTGACTGACACTCGTGTTGCTCATAGTTTACTTCAACATGAAGCAGAAGGGGTTGACTTTAAAAACGATGGTGAAGCAATCAGGTAAGTGGCAACGTTCTGTGCTTAATCCAAAGATCACATCCTGCTATTGGGGCTGCAAATATACATCTGCCAAAATGTGTTTTACTCATTATACAGTGAATTAAGATGCGTGGAGAAATCACGTCTCGGCACGAAGCCGCCTCTGAATGCTCTCTGCAGACACCACTGCACAGAATGATGAAAATGAGTTACATCCCTTTTGAGAGCTTTGGCTTCGGTGTCATTTGAAAGTCCCTTGGAGAGTGTTGCTACTGGTGACAGTCACCTCTGCCGTGCCTCCACTCATCCGACAATATTTCACACCCGAGTAAAGTCGTGTTGGACAGGACGCTCAATTGAAGAGTCGTCGTTACTTCGTTGTGTGCTTACCGCTCTTGTGACAAAGGGAGGAAGTTGACAATTGTCGAGGTCCCGAGGGGCATCGAGGTAGGATTTGGACTGATTCAAAAACGACCGCAAAACTGTCTGTTCATGGTCTTTAGCAGCAGGTGATGACATCTTCATCTTGGCTATGAAATTATGCAACTTTACATTCCAGTTAAGGTTTTTCCAATCTTAAAATTATAGGAAACATTTAAAGGTTCTCCCTGACTCCAAGATCGCCATGTTTAGTTTTCTGTGTCGAACAATAGAACCGCATCGACTGTGCTATGAATCAGTGATTAACTAATTTTATCTGTTTTCTTTCAGACACTACTCATACAAATAACGAGCATGATGAAAATCTACCGCTTGTTCATATCATGCGAAATGAACACAAGGTGCCATATGGAGTTCAGGTAAACTCAACGCAGCATAGTGGCATGATGACCCTACTCTACATTGTTTCAGTGTGTAGACGTGCACCAGTACACTGAAAACTCCATCCCAGATAGACAGAAATAATCGTGACCGTGTCTTCTCCACACGCTACAGAGGAGCAATGAGAGCAGCGAGACAATGCAACAGATCCGAGAGAACAAAGAGAAACTCAAGGCCTGGATCGGAGCGGATCCCTCGGCTTTCCTGGAGCATCTCAACGGCTTCAAATTGATTCCACGACGAGTTCACCAAGCGGCCGTCGACAAGGGTGGAGAGGAGAGTGTGGAGCTCGTTCTGGACCACTTCATCAGCCAGGGAGAGGCACGCTGTGAGACGCTGTGGGACTCCCTCTACTCTGTGAGGAAGCAATACGTGCAGCTGTGGAAGTGGATTCAGACACACGGTACGACCCACGTGAACGCACCGGTGTATTGACATCGAATGCCATTTTGTGAGAGTCGAGGAAGAAGAACCATGCATATGCGTGGCTTCCGTAATGCTTTCCAGCACGAGTTCGTCCTCGGGGAAGTGATCGGAGACTACGACGCTACGTTTAAAGCCGCACAGGAATTATGTCATGCTGTGCGTGACTGAACGACTTCACGTCACACTTGACTGTTTAAGTACCAATATGAACCTAAATATGTTATACGTTGTGCCTTGGTTCACAATCGTGGCCTAATTTTAATAAAAATCAAATAAGTCTGTGTAGAACGATACTTGTGGAATTCATATGAACCTCTGTCGATCGCAGGCGAGGCATTGAGGGCCATTCGAGATAAGGAGTCGGATCTGAAGCTCTGGATCGCCAGAGACCCCAAGCATCTTCTGCTGCAGCTGATGAGTCGGGGACGGATCCCGAACGAGCTCTTCACCGAGGCCAAGGGCATCCGGGATGGCGTGGAGTGCACGGAGCTGCTGCTCAACTTCTTCAAAGAGAGAGGGAATGACGACTGCCTCAAGCTGCTCTTTGCCCTGCAGGCCGTGCAGAACGAGTATCCTGGACTCAAGGAGTGGCTGGGAGGCCTTGGTAACAAAATAATACATTTATAATTAACGTTTAATTTCAGACACAATCCACATTTGTCGCATTAACCGGCCATCATTCCTTCTGGTGACATGTCCTGCCCAGGTGCAATTAATTAACAAAGCAATGCCCTATAACCCATGCACTGTCGTTCTGTTTTTCTACGTAACTTAAAACCGTGTACTATTTCATGCTCTTGCAGTGCTGTTCCTTTTAATTGTCAGTGTCCACGTGTCTGATTCGTACGTCATAGCAGGTAATGCGGGCCGATTAAAACTTTATTCTTCAGGCACATTGGTTACGTTACATTTCATTATTTTGTTCAATTTTCCAAAAGCACTCCAACCTGCTCTCATCCACCTTTGAAGGCTGAAACGGCGCCAATTGCCGCTGCGTTTCACCCCCTTTTGTGGTGCCGCAGACTTTCTCCGGAGACTCTCCAACAAGTCCCCCCTGGTTCTGAACAAGTACAACGACTTTGTCCTCCGAGACAAAATCCGCTTCAAGACGAGGGAGCTCCTCGTGGCGCTGCGCGACGACCTGACGCCTCTGCTCTCCCAACTGCAGATCAGGAACATCCTCACCGACAACAGCGTGCGGGTAATGTCCAACTAACACCATTGGAAACCTCATTTGCCAGTAACAAAATATGATAATTGGTGTTTTACCCTTTTAATCTGGCAACAAAACTGACACCTTTTTTTTACAAGGAGTCATGTTTACATTGACCACAATACCTGCGGTCGGAACGCAAACAAAAAACAACAACTCTGATAATGTATGTGGCACTGTCTTTGAAATTGATTGGTCCACACCCGAGACAGCTTTCTTTAGAGCCTCGTCTCACGTTGGTGTTGGACCAGAAGACGCCAAAAGGCGCACAACTCAAAGACAATGCACCATCAGAGTATGAGAGCTCGGGGAATAGGAATACAACTTTATCTGGAAGTGTTGGTCATGTTGGATCATCTTTACAAGAGTCACACTTGGTCATAAACGCTGCTGCTTTACAACGCAAACACAGAGTGCTTCTGGAGTGTTGCAGGCAAGCGGCTCTGAAGAACCGCCATCGCTACAGAAACGTCGTTCCGCTCTGAACGTCGCGTCTTTGCGTTCGTGTGTCCACCCGCAGGCCGTGAAGGAGATGCAAGCTCGGCAAGGCAGCGAGAAGGCGACACAGCACATGGTGGAGCTGGTGATGGCGAGGGGGCGACCCAGGGTCAAGCAGTTCTGGGAGGCGCTGTGGGACCTCAGGGAAAGTTACCCAGACCTGGAGAACGTCTTTGAGAAGTTCTAATGGGTGGAACCGGAAAGAGAGGGAAGACCTAACGGAGAATGGCTTGACGATGACCTCATAACGAGATTGGTGCCAGAAAGATGATGCGGCCACTACTTTAGCATATTGGCACGACAAGATAGGGAGAGGAAAGTGGAAACAAACCACCACCTACGACTATGGGGATATCTGCCATATGGATCGTGATGATGATGATGAATGGTGCGTGGGGGGTAGTTGTGGTCCAGTGGTTATTGCACTGCACAAATCACGGTGGCTAGGATATGTTAATTACCCTGCCCCGTATACAGGACGGGAGGTCGTGGGTTCGATCGGGACCCAGACGCCTGCTGTTTATTTAGAGTTTGCAACATCTCTCTCCCCGTGGTCACGTGGATTTTCATCCAAGTCGTCCTCTTTTCCCTTCCGCATGAAGAATCAACATGACGCGTTTAGAATATTTTGCTGCTATGAAATTCCACGTGATGATGTTGACAGGAATTCGTTGAGCTATCGTTTCGGATAGCCATGTCGCTTCTGAATAAGAGCTACTGTATAGCTCATTGGGCCTGTACTGGAAAGATAACTAAAATATATATTTTTTATAATTTATGAACCCAACTGCTCTGTCTGCTTCTTCCCTGGCACCGCTCCGCTTTGTAATTCCCTCCCATCGTGTCAAGTTTTTGTAACAACCCTTGCCCAATTCAAGAAAGGTATTGTCCATTAACAGCCACGCAGAGGAATGTGCATGAATGCCGTGGGGGGGGGGTGTTTAGTCAAGGAGACCAAATTAATCGGTCCTATTCATTAAGATTACAAACATTCATCAATGGTTCATTTAAGTTACGGTTGGCTTATTTTAACTTTGTTTTATTAATTTATAAATAGCATCACGATACATATCATAATTATTTAATCACGGGCCAAGCAAGATGTATTCACTTGCATTAGATCGCTGCCACTTCCAGAGCAGATCGCTTTGCCAGGCTCCCTCACTACCAGGCCGGGGATGCCTGATATGGCCATGGTCGCCATTTAACAAAAAAAAATGGCCGCGAGTTATCAACTCCGAAAAACATTCGTAGAAGATTACAATTCTTAGTTGCATTACTTGATTAATTATCATCATCAGCGATTGTCATCTCCTTGCTCAATATTCATCATCATCATCATCGGTGATTATATCACCTTACCATAATCATCATCAGTGATAACATCACCTTATGTATTCATCATCGGTCATGACATCACCCTGCTCTATTCGTCATCATCGGTGATGACATCACCTTATGTATTCATCATCAGTGATAACATCACCTTGCTCTATTCGTCATCATAAGTGATGTCATCAGCTTGCTCTATTCGTCATCTACAGTGGTGAAATTACCTTCACTATTTAAGACCGGAAACAGGAAGACTTCTTCACAATTCTGGCAAATCCTCTGATGAAGCTGCTGGTTGTTGTTGTTGTTGTAATCGCCAGCTAAACATCGCAGCAGTACTGAGGAAGGAAGCTCTCCCTGGCTATTGCGTTGAAAAGGGGTCGGGGGTAGCAGGGCGTGCTGATATTCTCAGTCACCACCGTGCCTGGTTACGGTGCAAGTCTTTTGTTTTGCATCTCCCCCGTACCCCTTCTCTGGCCTTTATCCACCCAGAAGTGTCAAAGGAGGTCGCGCGTGGTGGGACAAACAGTGGCTATCTCCGATGTGTTTTTTTTTTTTAAGGCATCCGACCAGCATAGAAGAGAAGGCGAAATATTTTTTCACGGGTGAAGGGCTTTCTTTTTGGGGCTCCATGGTGGCTAGGAGATGTTGACTACATCGCCTGGTATACAGGAAGTTGTGGGTTCGATCCTGACCCTGACGCCTCCTGTATATTTGGAGTTTTCATCTCCCTCCCCCGTGGTGGCGTGGATTTTTCTCTGGGTCCTCCGGGTTTTTCCCTCCACATTTAGGAATCAACATCACACGTTTCGAGTTTTTTTGGCTACTGCTCTAAATTTCCACACGACGTTGATGATATCAGCCACTTCGTTGGGCGATCATTCATGATAGCCAGGTTCCACTTCCGAAAGAAGAGCTATGTAGCTTAGTGGGGCCTTACCTGGTGAAATAGTGCAACATATACTCTGGGGGGAGAGGCTTTCTAGAGACCCCTCTCGTGGAGGCCTTTCCACCAGCAGTGGCCCACGTAAGTCACTTCAAGACTGCCTCTTTAGCTTTCAGAATAGTTGTCTTCATACTGGAGGAATCCGATGAGCTACAAAGCTCTTTTTTTCACAGATGTCCAGTGTGACCCTTGATAGTCATACAGTCACGTGACAAATTCCCTTCACTTCTATTCATTCCACCGAGCCTCGTTCCACGAACGACGTTTCGTTAACGGTGCCTGTAGTCGACACATTTTAGAGCCCCTTGGGCCAGACCAGATTTCGGTACCACCCAAGTTGGCCAAACTTCATTAGTGCCATTGTATTTGTTACACCAACAGAAGTAAAATAATACGTGATAACCTTTCCAAATGAGCAGCTGTTTAATTTTTCTCCCAGGAAAACTGCTTTCGCACCTATCACATTCACGCCTCTTTGCCCGAACGTTGCAAATAAAACATTCCAACACCTCTGCTGTTAATTAAGATAAGAAATAACTTACGAAATGGATGTTTGTCCCCAACGGATGTATTTCATACACATTCTTGCATCTATTCACGCTTGTTCTTCAATTTCAGTGACTTAGTTAAATCTGGAATAGATTGGCGCTATCTGTTTTCCTTCTGTTTCCAGCGGCTTGTTTGCTCATGATCATTTACTGGCAGGTGAGGCAAGTACTAGTGGTTGTGTATTATTTATGTTCAGAAAACATATCTAAAGTGCTAACTTTACCCTCAATGTATTGTTAATGTACCTTCTTTGGTTCTTTCGGTAAAGTCACGTAGAATGAGATTAAAATAATAAATGAATAAAATAAAATAACACAATGAAATTTTCACGACGTTTCGGCCACAACACAAGCGTCCTTCAGCATGCTAAGTCCGCCAATTAAATGCTAATTTTTTTATGCTAATTCATTTGTCAAGGCGCTCTGTTTCTTCTCACACAGCTTAAAGGTCACGGTCTGAGCTTGGCTCTGTTCGCTCCAGCGCTGTCCTCCAGACAGTCTCGTCCCTTCACCTGATGAAGGCCTCTTGTGTTGTGGCCGAAACGTCATGAGAATTTTATTGTTATTTTATTTTATTCATTTATTATTTTATTCTCATTCTACGTGACTTTACCGAAAGAACCAAAGAAGATGAATCCTTGCAGTCATGAAAGCTTTAAATCGAAAAGTTATTGTACCTGTTAAGATTATTAGTTAAGGCCAGGTACTACAGGCAAAAGTAATGATTTTTGTTCAGTTTGTCAATGTTGATCTTTTTGATATTTTGCTTCCATAAATTGTAAACTTTCATAACATGCACACAATTATTACCAATAACTTTGTTAGTGGTAATCATTGGCACTTCTTGACTGGTTCTAGACTGATCTTACTTCTAGCCTGGTTGCTTCAATGGACTCCCTAGGCATTGTCCAAGTCAAGGAATCAACCAAGAAGCACACAAGGCGAAAGCTGGAGAGGGCGTTTGCTGGAGCCTTGCACATCTTCCCTGATGGGAAAGGAAAACTCCTCCTCTATCCAGCTAACCTGTCCATGAGGGAACTTACCAAATAAAATAAGTCTCTAAAAAGGGAGCTCCAGACCCTGGAAAGTGTCGGTGATGAAGATGTTATAGCCAAAGCAGCCGTCAAATTGAAAGAGGACATCAAGAGTCAAGATGTTC